CGCTAATGTTTTGAATGAAGAAAGAGCAGTAAGAATTCTTACAAGGGCAGGTAATCAGATTGTTGAGCAAAGAGCTTCAAAACACGATGAATGTTTGAAATTAATTCAACACATTTTGGAAATTGTCGAAAGCCGAAGGATTGAACCTAATGTCCTTATTCCATCTTTGAAGGCAATATTAAATTTGGCACAAAGAAGTTTAAAGGAAAAGTAAGCAAGATTAGATAATTTGGACTTTTTTTAAAATTAATGAATAAACAGTATATTTTTGAAGTGTAAGCTTATTTACCTGAAGCTATATTACTTAATATAACATTCAAAGTATTATTGCTATTTATTGGAGAACAAATTTATGTAATTTTCACATGAAAATTGATAAATTTGTATTTCCTTATGATAATCAATTTTTGTATTTGTAGAGAGTCTCCCTGCATGATATCAAGACTTGGCTATAAGTCTTTATCCATTTTTGAAAATTGTATTGTAAATTGTAAGAATTTCTGAATACTACTACTATAAAATATAATTGCTTATCAATGTATATTCTCCCTGCATGATATCAAGACTTGGCTATAAGTCTTTATCCATTTTTGAAAATTGTATTGTAAATTGTAAGAATTTCTGAATACTACTACTATAAAATATAATTGCTTATCAATGTATATTCTCCCTGCATGATATCAAGACTTGGCTATAGTCTTTATCCATTTTTGAAAATTGTATTGTAAATTGTAAGAATTTCTGAATACTACTACTATAAAATATAATTGCTTATCAATGTATATTCTCCCTGCATGATATCAAGACTTGGCTATAAGTCTCTATTCATTATGAGTATGACCCCATTTTTTTACAAAAAGTGCCGAATTGCAACTTTGTCCCAATCTCGGCTTAATGGTCATAATATAACCAAATTAATTCAAAATTTGAAATTTTAATATTACTGTAACTATAATATATGGATATGTTTTATGAGATCATAATAAATGACATGCTAATGTAAAATTTAGAATAAAAAATTATATTTTTTTTAAAAAACATTGTTCATGAGTGTTAATTGGAGAAGTAGTAAATTAGTTCAGTTTGCAAGTGATGATGGTTAATCTAACTATAATTACAATCAATTTTTAAAATCTTTGATTTATTTTGGTGATAATTAAGAGTGCAGTTGTTCTATTTATAAACTTTTTACTATAGACGGCACTGGTGATAATAAAAATCAAGCAAAAGCGCATCTGCTGTTGCTCGACTGCATAAAAATTGTAGTTAAAATTTGAATACTTTACATAACTCATTTGTAAGGTAAATTAATATTATTAATTTATATTAAGAACAAATAAATATGAAATGTATTTTTTTCCAAAAAAATTAAGAAAAATGCCATTTTTATCATTGTTGTTAATGCCCCCTAATTCTTGAATGATTTTCGGGAAAAATAAATACGAAAAGAGAAATCATAGCTGCCAGACAACCATTATATGAAATTCATTCAGTTTACAAAGTTTAATTTCTTTCCACAATAGTACATAATATAGTAGTATATTCGGAAATATGCATGCTCGATATCTCCAATTCACATCTCATGCATCTTATCGGAGATTAAGTAACTTTATCTTGAAACTAGAAAAGTAATTAGCAAGTAGAATATATAAAAAATATAATGTTGTTTTATATTGATAAAACCATAAGAATGGCTATTCTAGAATGAAATTTTAGTACCTATATTCAGTGAAAGGTTTATTTGTAGTTGAACTTTCAAATGAAAACTCAAGGATCCAAGAATTGAATTGCATTAACAAACCAATAATGAAATATGATATATACATATATATTTTACCCATAAAAATAGAATTAAATCGATATTTAACCCAAATTGTCAAAATATCAACAAAATAATTTAAAAATATATATATATATAAGAGAAATATGTGATTTTGGTGTTTAAAAAAGAAAAATATTGCCCAAACAAGTGTTCTAGCTAAAAAGGAAAAATGCATTATTTCATATTTCAATATCAATGTTAAATATTAAAATAATCTGCCATTATTCAGACAGTTAAAAAATAAATACACTATAAGTTTAAGCTTTAGCTGTAAAATAAACAGTAATATTAAATAAACATTATATTATATAGTCGGAGCGATTCTATATATGTACTCTTATGCCAACTAGTTACAACCTAGTAAAATACATGGAAATATTGTAATATCCTAGCATTGCTATCGAGAAATCAAAAAATATAAGCAAAAGTCATCTTATATTTAAAGATTTTTCAAGAGCTTTGTTTGGAAATTAGTTCATTGGAAGAAGTATATAGATATGAAAACCCAAAGTATTAAGTTCGATAATATATATTTTTTTTTATTTTAAAATTGAATGCATACAACATTGCTCCTCTGGAGTGAATTAATTAGTTCCAACTTTTTCAAGATTCTACAGTGTAATATGCTCCTTGGAATGTCTCTTGCATGAATGTTTTTGTTTACCATCTAAAGAATTAAGATTTGAGATACAATAATCTTTGGAAAAGTAGAGGATACAACAATAAAGTATGTTCTTTCGATACATGATATCATTTTGTTACAAAAATATTCTTACTTACTCATGATTCAAAAAAAAAGGTTGCAGACATACTAAAATGTTATTTATGTGGCTTGTATTTACTAGCATATGTAATTTGGTGCTAACGTATACCATCAATTTCATTATAACACAGACATATATATTACTATTAGAATTTTATTTTAATTCAATGATAAAATCAAACATTCCTTTTTGAAAATCGTTCTATCTTGTTATTATCTTTGAATGCTGCATCAAGAACTAACAATTTACAATTTTTATTCAAATTATAATATAAAATTATAGCATATTGGTTTTCAAAGTATGTTTGCTAAAAGTAATTGCGCTTATCGTTTACCCCCGCATTAACACATATAAATTTGTATTAAAAAATGATATCAAATCAAAAATATGGCTTCCTTGCTAAGAAAAGCGTCAAATTTATTATGTTTCTCCTTAGCCGAAAGTGTATAAATTGGCAGTTAGATTTATAGTATCCTAACTGTTTTTTGTAAAGTTCGTCATATCTTTAATGGTACTATTTCAGCGTGTACAATGAATACAAAAATTCTAAGAGTGCCACATAAAATAGTACTTTAGACTTGAGTTAATGCTACCAAGCAAATGTTAAAAAGATGACTTTAGTGTTTTGATAATCAAAGATTAAAATCATTATTGTCTAAATCAATAATCATAACGACAGAAGTTAATGTTTTTTCATCAGTGCTTTAAATCCACTTTTAAAAGTATACCTCAAAAATCAAAATATCAAAAAAAAATCTAGTTTTTATGAATCTAAAGCTTTCTATAGTTCACATGCAAAAACCTTTAGTTTTATACTTTTTTATGGTTTTCATGAGACAAAAAGTTATGATTTAATAATTATTTTTAATTTTCCGCTGTTATCAACATAGATGACAACTTCATACACTTAGTTATCTAATATCTTGACTATTACACTCCTTAACCCCAACATTCAAACAAAAACCTTTACGGATGCCTAATATGAAATTTTCTTTTTTAAAAGACATTTCTATCAATAAATTATTTCTGGTAGTTAGACAAAGACCATTTTCTAAGTTGTTCAGAACTGTTTTCGTGCAAATTATCTATGAATGGGCTTAACAAGTTTAATCTGAAAGTTATTTCCAAAACAGAAATGCATATACAATCAAAAGAATATATATTTATGCCAATAATTGATGCTGATGTGGTTTTGCAATTTTACAGTTATTCACATATCATTATGCATTAAATTTTCATATTTGCTTATTTTTCTATCTTTTATCTTATGTATGATGAATTTCATAACTATTGGATATGATTTCATCATTCATATTGCATATTTCCATTTTGAAATTTTAGGAATCTTCAATTTTGGATGGATGTTTATAAAGTAGCTGTTGTAAATGGAATTTAAATTAGTAGTGACAACATTTGGTCATAACAAAATTGTATCTTGTCGATTACAAAAAATTAATTTCAAAATAATTTCTACAAGTGAAGCAAAAAGATATTAAATATCATTACCAATTCTATTCTAGTATGAAATTATAGAAAATATTAAGTTTATTTTATTCAGATTGGTCTGACATTCTCTCAAAAAGTTAATGAATGTTGGATTCTATATTCCTCTCTCAGACATCAACGAACTTAAAAAGAAGATTGAAGAACTTGAAATTGAAATAAAAGGAGACCGAGAAACGTTTTTAGTTAAATTTAATCAAGATATTCGAAAACAAATTTACAAAAGATCATTTGAAACTGATGTTCAGGTATTCCCGTATACAGGAACCGGAAAAATGCATATGTATAAAGCCTACCTAGAAGACTTAGACGCAATAAAGGCTGAAATGCGCAGAAGTCTGTTGAATAAGAATATTGGAAGAAAAACAAAGGAAATAGAAGAAGACAACGATGATCACCAAGACAGAACTTACTGGAATACAGAATTTCCGGAACATGTTCCTGAATTTACAAGAAATATTATACATACTATTATGGAAAACATTTGTAGAAAAGATAAAAGAGGTTATAGATATGGAGGTGAAAGTAAATTGGTAGATTTGGCATTCTTAATACATAGCAAATCACCAGCAGCATATAGTGTTCTCTTGGAATTTTGTTTACCTTTTCCTACGCCTGTAACATTGTACAATAGGTTTCATGAAGACATAATGAATATGAAACAGTTTGTTAAACATGCTGAGCTCATTCCGCGAATGTTAGAAAGCATGAACTATCACGTAGAAAATACACCTGAATATGAATGGGCAATAGCAATAGATGCAGTTGCACTCTCTACCTGGTCCTCTAAAGACCAAAAAGGTCCTGTTGATGAAAATGGAGAAGAAATCAAATACTTATTCATATTTCTTGGTATGCCCCTAAATTTTGATGCGCCAAATGTTATATTACATGTTATAGAACATGCCAATGGGTTTGCAAGTGGAATTATCCACGAAATTGATGCAGCAATCGAAGAAATACGAAAGCACTTAAGAGTTAGAGTCATCATTACTGATGGAGATCCCGGATATGATAAGCATCAAGATGAATTTATTAATGAAATTTTGCAAGGTAATGATCCCGAAGAAATATTTAAAAGAGCTACTGCTATCTTAAAGAAAGGAGATCAAGTTGTATGGATTAATGATCTCATACATATGTCAAAACTTGAACGTACCAGATTACTCGATGCAACACTTAAGCTTTTAGTTCATCCATCTGATCTGAATACAATTGTTAATGTTAACAAGATCAGAGATGCAATCGAATTAGGTGATGCTCTTAATGATACTTCACCTCTGGGAAGGATAAAAGATAAATATCCGATCACAATATTTTCAATTAGAGCTGTAAAGGCGCTTCTATAGGGTGTCCAAAGGTGTGTTTAGCACAAACCTGAATACTGCGAATAGAAATAAACAAGTTACATATATATAAAGTTTATTTAAATATAATCACCATTGGATTCAATCACTCGTTCGCAGCGATCGATCCAGGCTTGAAAGACACGCTTTAAATCATCATGAGAAAATTGCTCAAATTGCTCTCTTACAAAATTTTCAAGATCATCTGGACTCGCGAATTCGCGTCCTTCAGCTCTCTTTTTTAGCGTGCCGAATAAATAAAAGTCAGAGGGTGCAATATCAGGTGAATAAATTGGGTTTGGAACAATTTTGACATTGTTTTCCACCAAGTAATTCATTACCTTATGACTTTTGTGAACTCTTGAATTATCAAAATGAATTGCAAACTTTTGTTTTTGTTGTTTGGATTTCTCAAACTCATCAGAATTGATAATTTGAGTAAGAACATTGTCAATTAGATACTGAGCATTCATCGTATTAGGTTTATGAAGAATATCAATTGCGATGATGCCATTCACGCCCCAAAAAACCGACAACATCATCATTGGTGTGTCAATTTTTTTCTTCGGGAATGTTTGCGGATTTTCATCCTTCGGGATCCACATGATTTTGGCTTTTGTTGCATATTGAAACCAAGACTCGTCCCCTGTTACTAAAAAGCGAAACTTCTTGGATTGATACGCACCCAATATAGAGAGGAGCTCTTTCGAAGATTGGACTCTAGATTTTTTTTGAACTGAATTAAGGTTGTGCGGAACCCAACGTGTATACGCTAGTTTGTAGTTCAAATAATTGTGCAGATAATAACTGATTGTTGTACGTGGTATCTTTGTCATCTCCTCTATCCTTCTGAGTGATGCTCTTGGGTCTTCATCTAGCGCTTGAAGAATTGCTTTGATTTTTCTTTGATCCGGCGATTTTTTGTCAATTTTTATGATGGCGCTTTTTGTTCATGAAGTGATACATCCTAACATGATACGTTACAGTGGAATAGCTAGGAGCATCCATACGAAGCATTTTACCAATGTCTCGTAGATTTTTTTACAGTCTTTGCATTTTTTTGCAAGAGCGAGGATGTTTTCTTTATGATTCATTAAAAAAATGAAAAAAAATCCCGCCAAAATTTTCCGCGAAACCGCCTCTTGTCTCAAAATTCATTTTATATCCCGGCATGGCGCCAAAATACAACATACTCATCATATACATATATTCATATTTTTTATTATATATTTATAATCAGCATATATCTCCTTTAATAGTCTCATATAGAGCGCTGTGCTAAACGCACCTTTGGACACCCTATAGAAAAAAACTATTATAATGAAGCATTATTCATAGCTCCACTTGCTTTCTGGTATGAAAGCATACGAAATGAGGCATTTAATGCTGACACAAGATGTCAAATGATGTGGTTTGCATATCTGCTCTTGGTACATCATTGCATTCAAATGAGAGACCGTCACATTAAGACAAATCTTGGTGTTGTCAAAATAGACGGAAACATTTATCCGGTCTATTATATGGGAACTTGGGAAGTTGTAAAGCATCTTACAGCAACAATCATTTGTTTCCAATATTTTTTCAGTATTAATTCAACATTTTTCAATTTTTCTCATTTGACAACCATGACGGAAGAACATTTGAATGGTTTACTTCGCGTCATGGCTCATTTTAAGTATGATTTGTCAACAACCGAAACATCTATTGCAGAATGTAATTTAACACTCAAAATTCATAAAAAATACGATATTGACTGGAAAACCCATTCACGTGACTATCAAGCTGGTATTGCATTTGAAGACATTTACACAATGCGTCAAGATTCACGTCAATATGAAATGTGCAAAGAATATGCATATGCCTTGTTATCCAAATGTGGATTTAGATATAATAGTAATTCCAGCGTTGATGTATTGCTTAGTTGGGTGAATGAAATTAATCAATTTCACTCAAAAATTTTAATGTCAACACATATATCAAATCCAATTTCAGGTTATAGTATTTTTTCACGTTTATCTGTCAAAAAAGATGTTTTTGACAACCCAACCAAAAAAAAATCACGCAAGAAAGGATTAAACGATTTAGATCCTCATAATGACAAATCTGATCCTCTTGAAAATGATCCATTATATGAAGAAAGCCATATTGCTCAATTATTCCCAGAAAATGTCATTTTACCATCAAATTTTGCCAAGAAGGCAAACAAATTCAGCGATTTTGAAACATACATTCATAATACATTAAGTAGATTTCATAATGGGATCACATATGAGAATCTAGAGTTTGCTATTCTAAATGCGAAACGTCATCCAAAACACATTGTTGATCTCATAAATAAAGGCAATTTTTCACAAATCTTAAGGAGTACACTTCGCACAATGACAATTGAAAACAAAGTGAATTATAGTCATGTAACCACACTCTACTTCGCTGCATAGCTCTCAAAATAGAGCTCCTTTATTATAACTATCATAAATTTCAAATCTCAGATTGAAATATTCGTTAAATGATAGTTCTTTTGTATATTTGTATACTATTTTGTTTGTATTAAACTTGTTTGTTATTTTTAGTCACAAATTATATTTTTTAAATTTAATTAAAGTAAAAATTCCTTTAATGGTAATGTTCGAACATTGATTACAAGATAATTAAAATATATGACCTCATTATAAATGAATTTTAACTCTAGATAATTGAGAAAGCTACAAATTGTTTCTAAATCTTGAAATTATTCGATGTCAATCTAATTTTTCTTGTTATAGCCTACTTCTATGGTGTACAGGTTGTCATAATTACTATTTTAAAGTGTAAAACATGCTTATATCAATCAGGACGTTAAAATGGAAAAGTACATACCAAGCAAATGTTTGGATTTATATGCGACAGCCTTTTTAATGGATGTGACAAAGCGTTTCAATATAGATTTTGATTAAAGCATAACTGCAAATTATAATTTGACTTTATATGTACCAATAATAATGGCAATTATGAGTTTTTTTATATAAATTATATCACACCGCTTCTAGTAATTTTTAGCTTAAGCATATCATCGGCTAATTTTCAAAAAAAAAGAATTTCAAATTTTAATCCAAATTCTTTTCTTAAAATTCACAATCAAATTACAGCTTATCTTTAATAGTCTTATTCATTCTATGCTTTTTTTTCGGCTCCATAAAAGTCATAAATTTTTCCATCATAAATTTGTTAGAAATTGGGTTACCATTGCCAAACATTTGGATAGAAAAAGCCCAATAAATTATACCCAAAGCATCCAAACATGAAGATATCATATAAGAAATATAGTTTAATTCAGTAATTCCCTAAAATCTAAAATGTTTAAGAACGTTTGTTCAATATCTTACAATCTAATTCACAGATTTAGCATATGTACTACGTATCAAATATACAATGTGATCTCTCAATAAGCTTAGAAGGTTAATTATTAAAATTAAATAAAATTCTACAATTAGCGAAAAATAATACGGCAGATAATATGCTTATAGGTAAAGAAATTCAAAGAGCATTCCTTAAATTTTTTCGAAATTTATCAAAACTCGAAGGTAAATCATCGAGTGATATGCGAAAAAACTTTTTTATTCTATTAATGATAATAAATATATTAGCCATATTAAAACTTTTCATTTTTTAAAACTCATAGAAATACGTTTGATATTCTTCATTAAGAACATATAAAAACGAGTATAATTATCATAATCTGTTAATTTACAATATAAATGCTTTTCTGCTTGTAGTAAATATCAAATAAGAAAATAATAACATTATAAATTTTTCAAATAAGAATATATTATCTAGCATCTAAGCATGAAGATATTTAGAATTTGGATATCTAAATTCTGCTTAGATTACTTTCAAAATATAAGTCAATAATCTTTGATTTTATTAAACGCTAATATTGGATAGTATATTTTCACAATTTAATTGTAGTTAGATAAATGATAATTCATGTAACTCATTGATTTCGATCAAAAGTTATATTCACCTTGTTAAAAAAACTGAGTGCTTACTGATTTGAACATATTGCCTTTGAACCCCACGACATAACCAGAAGGCTAAACGTACATTGATTTTTTTTATAAATTCTAGTATAAAATACTTCCTGCAGGGCATTTGTTTAATTATTTCACATTCTGATGACATAATTTTTAATATCATAGATAATGAAAGCGAAACATATATAAAAATCGACAAACATGTTATAATGAATTGAGAGCTTTACGTGTCAAAAAACACATTTCATACTGATTTCTATAAAAGGTATCTTTATTATAGAAGTGTAAGCTATATCTGTTTGTTTTTTTATTATAACAAATTCAAAATTCTCTTATAAGGATTAGATGAAATCTGTATTACTAAATCATTAGCTAAATGAAGGTTCAAATAGAAAGTAAATATCAATTTATATGATACTGAAACCAAATAGTTCTTTTAATAAAAGATAACACGCTAAAAATTATTGAGTATTTGCAAATCTCAAAAATCTATTGGTGAATTTGGCTCAACTTTTAAAATTATAACATCCATATCAAATCATAAAAGCAGACAAAAATTAAAGCCAAACCTATCGGCCAATTTTTTTTGATATTTTGATTTTTGAGGTATACTTTTAAAAGTGAATTTAAAGCACTTATGAAAAAACATTAACTTCTGTCGTTATGATTATTGATTTAGACAATAATGATTTTAATCTTTGATTATCAAAACACTAAAGTCATCTTTTTAACATTTGCTTGGTAGCATTAACTCAAGTCTAAAGTACTTTTTATGTGGCACTCTTAGAATTTTTGTATTCATTGAACACGCTGAAATAGTACCATTAAAGTTATGGCGGACTTTCAAAAAATAGTTTGGTCACCTTTTTGGGTGAAAAAATTCAACAAAAACAGGTATTTTTCTTTAAAGATATTTGCTTTTATGACTAAATACAATTAATTACCAAAATAATATGAAATTAAACAATCATAAAATTAAATTCTAAACAGAATTTTAGAGTAAACGAACTTTTTAACCTCATATAACATTCAGATATCAAATACCATAAACAATTAAAATGATTATCTAAGAGAGAAATATTTTATTACTTGATTACAAATATCTTTGTAGTTTCCAAGAGTAATCATTCTATTTTTAAAACAATTATAACATATATCAATAATACTTCTTATTCTAGTCGTGCAATACTATTAAAAAGACTAAGTTTTAGAGAATGAAAAAAAATCAATGGTTGAATATTACATAAATGGTACAAAGAGCTATAACTATCTATAAGTTAAGTATGGGTATCGTTTACAATGTTCATGTTTTAGATTTCAATATTTGATGGATTTATTAAAAAATTTTCCAAAATGAAATCTGATACGGAAAGTACATTTAAATGATTTGTAGAAATATGGCAGTCCCAACGGGAACCGCGGTAATTTACCGAGGTTTCCGCACACCGGTTCCTTTTTTTAGGAATTTTTTAGATTAAAAAATATGCTTTGTAAATCATTTTTTGTAAATCGGCAAAAATTTGGAAATATTCTGACGACAATAAATCTGGGAATAGTATTTTAAATACGAGAACAACTTATTTAAAAGTGTTTCGCTCGATTTTGTATAATTTCAAATTTTCGCATATAGCTTTCCGTGAATTACCGTGATTTTACCGCCACATCAATAGTTTACAACACTTTTTCCGTAAATTGAGTAGTTTACTGCACTTTTTCCGTAAAATTGAGTTACGGGAATCCGTAAGATTACCGTACCTCACTTCTAGTTGAAAATAGCATTAGTATATAATAAATAGATATATTATTCATATTTTTGATTTTGAATTACGGAAAAAGTGAGTTCAGAACTTCCAATTATTATTTGATTAATTATGTTAAAAATACTATAAGGAATTAAAATACATAATGTTGAAATTTGAATTACGGAAAAAGTGAGGGTGAAAGTGAAGTGAAAAAGTAAGATATTTTTTGTTGAAATAATCATAGTTGTACAATTTTGAAACTATATGTAAAGCTATAAATTGAATAAATTCTAAAACAAAAATTGTTTATTCTTATTAATAAATTTATATTAATCAATATTTGAACAACCCGTAATTAAAATTGAATTCCTCTTAAAATTTAATCCATACGTTAATTTTTAATTTGCTCGGCGAATGCCGGGCTTCCCTACTTCTCTTGTCATTCCTTCAAAAACTCTAATCTCATCGCACTTACAAACATCATGATTTGATGTATTGTCGAGAAATCTTAGACTTGTTTGTCATTTGATTATAGCATTTGAAAGTCATCTCGAAAATCGATTAACAAGACAATTTCCCAAACATCTACATACAAGTAGATGATGGTAAACCCATTAGAGTTGTTTTGCTATGATTCCTCCAATCTTATGATGAGAAAAATCATATCAAAACAGCTCTAATCGAACATTCTACACAGCTTAGCATCCAGCTAGTTCCAAGTAATGCGATTACAACATCAACGGCCAAAGCCTTTCAGAGTCCTTTAATCATTTCTTCTCATCTCAATGTGAAGTGGCCCCAAACGAACTACAAGCTGACGTTACAACGCATTACAACCCGGTTAATATAAGCATATACATTAGAGCTGCTTTGTTATGATCTCCCTCATCAATTGATGAGAGATCTCATTATGAAGCAGCTCCAATCGAACTAAAAACCTACATACAAATGAGTGAAAACAAACTCATTAGAGTTGTGTTGCTTTGATTTCTCTCATCAGAAGATGAGAGATACCAGAACAAAACAACTCTAATCAAACTTTCTACACAACTCAGCACAGTATCAATGCAAAGTAATGCGTCTGTATCGTTAACAAGCAAAGTTGTTTCGGGTCCTTCCATTTTGGAAGAATTCGGAACAACTTTGCGAATTGATAGTGTAAACCCATATACATGAAAGCGTGCATGCATAAAGACAGGTATTGTCAGCAATGACTACCTGCCCAGCTATGAGTGATCAGAGAATTACCATCTCGGGCTTTTTGAGAACGTTTCAGCCAGGACCCTCGTATGTTGACTGTGAGAAAGGCATCCTTTATCTGAAATAGATGCTTTTCCAACAATCAAATTCGAAGATCTTCGACGTTGTTGTAAAAAGAGAAGGAGAAGGAAAGAAGAGGAAGGAGAGGAAGAAGGAAAGGAAAAGAAGAAGAAGAAAAAAGAAAAAAAAAGAAGGACATATTAAATATAATGCGCACTTAATAGTGCCGAGGCGGCGGAGCCGCCGAGGCGCGATTTTTTTGACCCTATATTACCGCACGGCAATGTTTTTCTCGATTTTGTACAGCCCTATGTAGAAATAAGAAATATTCGTGAGGTATGGAATGAATCATCGAATTAAGGAATCCAGAATTTCGATTGGTAAGAAATAGCAGTTAGATGAAGTAGAATGCCTTCTTCCTACTGATGTGAAAATATTCTGAAGAATCAATAATAAAACAAACTCATATGCGAACAAAATGAATGGATAAAATTTTGTCATTATTCAATTTTTTTGATTCTGAATTACTTCACACCAATAAATTGTCAAAAATGAAATGATTTATATTCAAAAAAAAAATATTACTAAAAATATTAAAGCAAAATGATAAATAAAGTTCGTTTTTCAAAAATCTATTGTTTTATGTTATAAACAAATTGAGGTAATTTTTTCGTGCATAAATTAATGAAATTTTTGCATAAATTTACTTTGTTATACTATGCAGCTAATAATTATCAATAAAGTTTGTTTTCGAAAAATTGAATTAGGATATTTTGAAAAAAATGATTTATAAAATTTTATCCTCGTAAAATTAGTATCATATAAATACCAAAAATATGAACAAATATTATTTTAAATTATGATAGATTCAATTAGTGTCAAAAATCTGTAAGTACAAAATAAAATGTTCAAAAAAACTAATAATTCAATTAATGAAATATAACACAAACATTTATCGAATACTGTTTATTTGACACTTTTCATTAAAGTAATTTGTTAAAAAGATGTCATAAAAGGTACATTCACTAGGCGATAACAGTAAAATGGGATGAAAATAGGATAAATAGCATCCCTATATAGTGCCTAACAATATTTATACGGCCAAAAAATTTGGCTAGAGATTTGGCGAGTTAGAAAACTTAGAAAATTGAGAGGGATTTTTATTTTTGAATTTTTTTTGGAAAGTTAAAATTGCGATTAAAAATCGATTTCCAGGAGAACTAAGCATCTCATCATATATTTAAATCGATAAAAATATTAAATAATAGTTGAATAGTATAACAACGTGAAATTATGGCTGAATCTACAGAAAAAATGAACATATTTGACATTTTTGAAAATTCATACGTTAGATGGTGACAAACTCATAAACTATACTTTAGCTAAGATTGATATATAGTTTCAACAACACATGGTTAAAATCGTAAAAATATTTTAGATTTCAAAAAGATATATATGGTAATATAATGGAACAAAGTCAACAAATAGCATGTTAAATATGTTATAATTAACTTTTTATTAGATCCAATAGTAGATATCGAATGGTTTCCAGCTTTATGGTTAAATATTTTCTTTTCGAGCTTCTCTTTAACTGTTGTATTAAGGTTGTAAATTTTTGATGCTAGAAACTATGGAATCTTCTTTGATGCTGCATTTTTCTTGAGAGTTCTTGCAATTTCGAATAGATCTGCGCATTGTATGAAATGGAGGCTTTAAAATATCTTGAAAACAGAATAGGACTGCTTTTCCAAAGGAATGCTTACTTGTAAATCAGAGAGTTTCAAAATTGAGAGCAAGATTATCATCATAACTTTCGATTTTGCTGCGAAAAAGGAAGACAAGTAATTAACAAATCATTTACTGTTGTTCATCAAAAGAAGAAAACATTGATAACAACTAATGATGATAAAATCAAGCTATCTTTTAATATTTTAAATTGATAAGACATTCAAAATATTTGAATGGTTTAAAATATTTTCTTTTAATTTCTATAAGATATTATCATGATTATATAATAAAATTTAAATTTTATTCAAAAAGGCAATATTTCAAACTTTTAATTTCAAAAATCTTAATTCTGCAATAAGTGTATTTAATTGTAGCAAATTTAATGATCCTTCGTCATGCTTAGCAATTTGGAACTCATAAATTAATGATTTCTTCAAGTAAAATTCTGCATTATTTCAAAAGTCAATAATTCTCTAGTAACTTTTCTTCAAACCCTAACCATTATATTATAGGTATAATGGAGAATAATTGCAAAGAAAGATAGCTGAATTTACTGGGTAGTTCTTGTGATGCGAAATAATTGCAAATTAACACCTAGTTTTAACAGCATCAATCTCTTTTTGCTCTCATTTAAATGCATTCGCACACTTTAATTTTGAAATATAAGAGTTTTGGAAATTATCAAATTTATCTGCTCAAATACTATAGATCTTCATAAGTGTTAATAGAATCATTAGCCTTACATATAGTGTTTAATATAATGATGCACATTATACTGGGATTCATTCCTTATTCATCTAGTTATTATAAGATTTACAACCCCATGAAAATTTAAAATTTTGTCAAAAATAGTGAATGTACCTTTGATGTCATATAGGCTATAATTTGATACATTAATTTTAGTATTTCAAAATTATATATTGTCAGTTAATATCTTTTCAAATTATGAAATCAAACCGTTAATTTTATGGTATGCCTTATTCATATTTTCATGAATAGTTACAGATATTCGCATCGAATAAAATTAACTATCGTTTTAGGATTCTCAATTTTTATTTGATTTAATTTATCTAATATTCCATAATTATAATTTCTTTTAATAAGATTTTGCATTATCACAAAATTGTATATATTCAAATTTGATAAAAATGAGATTACATACAGGTGATGTGAATTTAAATTCAAAAAATGGAAACTGGGCACACCACAATCGGAGATTACAATATAATCAGAACACTCGGCAGTGGGACCACATGCAAAGTCAAACTAGCTCAACACCAACTAACAGGAGAGTATTACGCAATTAAAATAATTAAAAAGAGTCATTTTGCTCAAAAACCAAATCTCGAAATGAAAATATATAGGGAAATTTCTTTAATGAGAATGGTTGACCATCCACACATTATAAAATTGCATGATGTACTTGAATCCCCAAGGCATATTTACATTATTCTTGAATACGCACAAAATGGTGAATTATTTGACTATTTAGTACGATCCAAATGCTTGAAAGAGGATGTAGCAATGGATATGTTCCGCCAAATCATTTATGCACTTGAGTATCTCCACCTTCATAATATTTGTCACAGAGATCTTAAACCTGAGAACATTTTACTTGATAAAAACAACAGAATCAAGATTGCCGACTTCGGATTTGCCAGATGGATGCGCCATTGCGTTGCCAATACCAGCTGCGGTTCACCTCATTACGCTGCCCCAGAAGTTATTCGTGGATACGAATATGACGGACGCGCAGCTGACATCTGGAGTGCCGGTGTTATTCTTTTTGCATTGCTTGCAGTATGTATTTTTTTGGTAAACCTCAATTTTTTCAAATGACTTTCTTAACCTTTCGAAATATACTTTCAAAAGTGTTAGAAATGTCATATTGTAAATAAGAGGTGCCATTTTTGTTAACATTTACTAACACACAGGGATATTTACCTTTTGATGATCATTCAATTCACATTCTCCTTCAGAAAGTCAAGCGCGGTAAATTCACAATGCCTCCAGAGTTCCATCCGGACTTGAAGGACATGATACAGAGAATGATTACAGTTGACGTCTCTCAGAGAATAACTCTCGATCAAATTAAGAAACATCGCGCTTTCTTGATAAAACTTCCGAGATACTACGTTCTTCCTACACCGATACACCCATCTTCTATCTCTGCTCCAATTGATCCTTCAACATTGAACGATCAAATCTTCGAAACCTTGAAGAGAATAGGAATTTCCAAGGAAGAAGCCCTTCAAGAAATCACGAGTGAAACGACCAACCAAGTCAAAATGTTTATTGATCTTATTCAGCAAAAAACTCACTTGGATGATTTGCCTTGGGAAACTGCTTCAAACGAAGTTGCAGATAATGGCGAGAACGTAGAGAACTTCCTCGACGGAGAAGTCGCAATTGGAGATTTACCAAGACAAGATCCAGTTGGATCTCTTAGCGACTTCCCACAGTCTCTTGCTGTTCGTCCGACATGGTTCCCGTCAACACCAGTCATGGAATATCAGACTATCGATGTTTTCGGACCTTCAATGCAGCCTCTTTGTCAGATTATTGCTGAAATTCAAATGCTCTTTTCTCAGGCATCTCTTCCATTCTTCCATCCAAATGATATGGTTCTTATCGCAAAATACGACGAAGAAACGTTTATTAGAGTCGAAGCTGATTACAATGAAAGCAAATTATTAGTTACTGTCAAGACAATTGGACAGAATGCAGCTCTAAGCCAACTTATTACCAACAAGATAGCCGAAATTATGTCAACCTAGGCTTAATACCTATGTTTTATAGATTTTGTTAGTAATTTTATTTATTTTTAATGATTTTTATGATCATTTTATTAAATCAATATTTTTACGCGCAATTTACAATCCTTTGACTTTTACACATAATCCTATTATGGAGTATCTTGCAATTTTTGTTGTATTGTTTAGTAAACAATTTGATTTTCAATAGTCATTAAAGTTCTTACATCATTATATTGATAATGACAAGAGGGCAGCTTCTTAAACCAATAGAATATGAATCCAATATCTTCGATCTTGATCAATTATGCATGATTTATGGTAAACATTCCATAGTTAGAGACAACATACTCATCTGTATGATAATAACTATCCTTAAAATACGTTTTTTGCCAGGATTTTCAAAAAAAATTTTCTATATCAATTCAATTTGAGCTTAAGATAAAACAAATTGCTACATTAAATCGTGAAATTTTTCTCAACTTTTTATTTTTGTTTGTTAATTTCATCCATTCAATTTTATGGGGCTCTCACCGAGCGCCCACAACCCTAACAAGGTTAAGATACAAGTACAAGCTAATACAAATGCTCCTGATGCGCTTATTGCGCCTGATTTAACTGAAGCAGATCCAACGCAAACTCTAACTATGGATTTACGGATCTTGTTAAAACCGATTGAGATCATTCCACACCAATCACGAATGAAAGCTATCTATAACTTTTCACTTTTTTCATCACCTGTCCTACCTTCACGCATAAAAATTAAGAATTTAGAAGATTTTAAGATAAATTATTCACAAATTGCAATATCTCGCTTCGGCTTAGGAAGAGTTATTTGCTTTGGACACATTTCAACTCTTACATCATGTATTCCTTCAATCAGAAAAAATGCATTATTCATGGAAAAGATGCTAAGATGGATTGGAGGACCTAGACCAATTACACGTATGCTATGCTTATATAATGTTGATCCACAATACCATATTATGCTTCGAAAGAACATGGAAGGATTAGGTTTTGGTATTGACATTAAAGATCAGATCAATGTATACACAGAAAATACTATAATACTAGTTCAGACTAATAAAGCCCCAGATCCAGGCCTAATTGAGTTTGTTAATCTTGGAGGCGGTTTGATCGTCGTAGGAGTTGATGATCCAAAGATAACAATCAATGATACATTAGCAAAACTTGGTTTATGCTATCTTCAATACCCTCATGAGTTCTATGATGATGAATCTCTTGCTGATATCGTTCCAAACAAGAAATTTGAAGATTTACAGGACGCAAACTTAGATGTGCATATTAAAGCTCTTAAGACCATGTATCAACAAAAACCAGATGCTATTGATTCCATTCAAACAATGGCAACAATTGTAGGAGAAGAGATCGAACGCGCTTCAATAATCAATACGAACTATGCTTATGATGTTTGTGAAACATTTGGCCCAATACTTCACTCAATGATTCAACAAGGGGGCTGGAAATATGGAGATAACCAAATTTCAGCCACTCTTACTAAATTAATTGTTAAAGCAGCATCAGTACTACCATTGAGTTACTTTGCCACGTATGATTTCTCTGGTCGTTTCGTTGGTTCTTCGATGAACTCAGATTGTCAACAAGTTACTGTTTCTTTATCGTTCCCAGACCCAGGATGGTATTCAACTGGCCTTTGGATTCAACCACAATATCTTTCTCAAGTCCAATTCGACCAAAGAGTTCCAAATTGTCAGATAATTATTGGTTGCCATACGTTTAATGCAATTGATAATGAACCTCCATGGAAGAGATTTCCAATTGTCTCACTTCGACGCCAGATTACTGATAGATTCCATGAAATTGCTACTCCTTATGGAGGAATGGTCTATTTTGCTCCCGGAGAAAGCGAAATCATTGAGAAAAATAAATCAATACATGTGACTCTCTCAGATGCTGTTAAATATCCAATGATGATCCTCGGTAAACCGGATTCTTGGAAGAATACTTATACAGAAGACATTCCATGGGGTGAAATCGTCACTAAAACAATCATTATAGCAGCTAGAACAGATCAAATCAATATGATTTCGGATCAAGAAGGTCAATTATCTTATATCGACTCATTAATCGCCCCAATGGTCGAAGTTTCTGGTTACACCATGTCCAAAAAGTTCAGATTGGTCTTTGATATCGAATATCCTCATACTTTTATGAATTCTTATCCGATCACAATTGATATCAACCTCCACAAAAAGCTTTTACATAGTAGAGAACTTTCGCAAGAGATATTTGAGATCTTGGCTGCAATTGCATATAACACAATTGACTCTACAGGGCTGGACAAAGATTTGCATAATTCTATTGCTTATTTCCTCAGTTTTTACAGTTTAACGCAACAATTTGGAATTGAAAACGTTAAAAAGGCAATAAAGTGCGAAAGCCCAGGTTTCAAGCAAATGTCGGAAGATTTAGCTGTCAAACCATCAATTTTTACTTCCGCACTTTCGGAAGCCAGAGCTGCACAGTTAAACTTTGATGATGACGTCACAGATGTTTTTATTACTCATTTAAATTTAAAGAGCGGAATAGAAGTCAAATTGCCAAACGAGAAGAACAATGAATGATATTTATCATGTTTTATTTGTTATTTTGTATGGATACTAAAAAATTTATTGTTTTGTTTTTTGATATTTCAAAAAAATTCATTTTTTAAAAGAATATTCGAGTGCGTTCAAACATTTTACATGACCATTTCATCGGATTGCTATTAGTTAGCCAAGTCACACAATTATTGGTTAGTAGGATATGACGGGTTTAGTGACTTTTTTTGTTACATCTATATATAGACGATGCATTAAAATATATTTATTTATAAATCATTAAAAAATTAACATTAATTTTAAAATAATTTATTTTTTTATCTTTTATAAAAGAAGCTATATATAGATGATGTCAGATATTCCGCGATTAATTAAACATTGTTTAAATCCTGAATGGGTTAAACTTCAATTTAAAAATGAAGATTGTGAATTATTAAATGAATATGAAAGCCAAAATAAGCTAATGAGGTATAAATATAATGATAAAGAATATTTAATTTCATGGAATCAATGGAGTCATAATCAAAGACCTCATAAACGAGAAGAAGAAATTGAAAATAATGAAATGGAAATCATTGATGACATTAAAGAGGATGGAATTCCTAAATTTTGTAGAAAAACCTTTAGAACTAAGTTAGGAGCATATAAACGTAGAGTATTAAATCCTGAATATCTTAAACATCAATTTAAAAAGGAAGACTGCGAATTATTAAACGCTAATGAATATGAAAACGCTAAATCAAAACTGAGATATAAATATATTGGAAGTGATGAAAGGTGTAAAGATAAAGATAAAGTTTATTCAGTTTCATATAATAACTGGCACACGTTAGGGATAAGAAAACATTTAGGAGATTATGGGAAATGTTCTGAATTCTTTAAATCTAGTATATACAAAAAAAAAAAAAAAAAAAAAAAAAAGGTAGTGGGGCTTCCAGGCACTTCGTGCCTTCTAGCCCTGAAGATGTTTAGTATAAATGAAGTTTTTATTCGGAGGGCTTCCAGCCCATAAGAAATTTTTCCCAAGACCCAAGAGGAGGACCGAACCCCAGCCGACCAGCCGTTGACTTTTTTGTCATGATTTCATCGTAAATGTTTTGTCAAACTTCTTCGTAATGAGCGTAAATGACCAAAAATAATGTTTATGTTAGCATGTTAGATCTAACACGTTTTCTAACATGTTTTCTAACATCGTAGAAAACTCATGATTTCATCGTAAATGTTTTGTCAAGACTTCTTCGTAAATGTTTTGTCAAGACTTCTTCGTAAAATGTTTTGTCAAGACTTCTTCGTAAATGTTTTGTCACTTTTCTGTCACTTTTCAGGTAAAAACATTTTTATTATTATATATAAATGAATTTTACAAAACCACCACTACCCTTCTTTGGAAATAAGAGTAGATGTAAAGATATTCTATTGAGAGAACTTAAGAAACTACCGAATGGTCTAACATTTGTAGATTTGTTCGGTGGAAGTTTCTATATATCCCATTTGTGCCATATAATATTCCCAGACTCAAAGATTATATGCAATGACTTCGACAACTATATGAACCGTCTCAAACATATACCAGACACAAACAATATATTGAAAGAGTTAAAAGAAAAGATACCTATAGGTAAGATGGAACGTATACCATTAGATAAGAAAAATATTGTGAGAGAGGTTTTGAAAAAAGCAGAATATATAGACTGGGATAGTATATCTGCTAGACTATTATATAGTGGTTCTATAAGAGTTCATGACATTGAAACACTTATGTCAAAAGTTTTATATCTTAACTATACAAATGTTTTCAAAGAGGACATAGAAAAATATATTGAGGGTATAGAGTTTGTGAGATGTCATTGGACAGAGTTGTATGAAAAATATAAAGACAAGGAAAATGTTTTCTTTATAGTGGACCCGCCGTTCTATAACACATGGGATTTTCAATACCAAGTAGACTGGACTTTGAGAGACTCTTTAGAAACTTTAGACGTTTTACATAACCATCCATGCTTTTACTTTACATCCGATAAAAGTGGTTTGGAAACCGTTATGAGATGGTTAGAGGACATACATGACTATGAGTTTAGATATGACAAGATAGAATATGAGAGAGGTCCTATAAACCGGAGAAAGTGTCATAACAAAGAAATTTTATTAGTAAGTAAATGTGGTTTGAAATAGGACTACTTGTTTTAGGTTTTTTCCATTGTGTCATTTATTTATTTGACGTGGCAGAAAGGTACAGAGAATATGAAGATGAACCAATGTCTGCAAATGTTCAGCATATGTACTCGTAAGAGATATTTTTATCTAATATTAAATGGACGCACAGAACTTAGCGAATGCACAGCAACCTGGACAACCAAACCCAGAGAATATTCCAAATGAAGTTAGAATACAAACTGCAATGGCAAACTATGGTCAAGTGCCAACAGATGTACAAATGCAAACTGCCATGTCAAATGACGCTGCGTTAGGTTTGCCACCATGGTATGCAAATATGAGATGGAAAGAGTTTTATACAAACCCTGAAGTGGGATATAAACAACTTTATGCAGATGACGCGAACACAGGAGTTGACCCAGAATATGTTTTCTACCAGAGGAGAAACAGAATGTATGAGCTCCAGTTAAAGAATGCTATGGAACTCAACAGGAAACGTAAGAGACTAGGCGGACATTAGATTTTTACATATAGTAAAATGGGTTTCTTCAGTAGTATTGGAAACTTCTTTCGAAATGTTGGAAGAGGTATATGGAATGGAATAAAATCTGTCGGAAGAGGAATTTGGAACGGTGTCAAAAATATTGGTAAAAGAGTAGGTCAGTTCGTTGGTATTATACCTAAAGACCCTGAACCAGAAGAACAAGCTCCTGTTATACAACAGCCTGAACCTGCACCACAGTCTAGTTGGCAACCAAATCCAACACCTCAACCGTATTAAAAAATTATATTTTTACCGTTCGATAGTAGTTGTATATGAGACTAAGTTCTAAGTAAAACGCATGGTATAATGGAATTATTCTCTTTCTTCCATCTGTAGTAAACCATACTTGAAAGTCTGAAATACTTCCACTTGGTGGTTCGTATAGCTTTGTAGGTTTTTCGTAAAAGTCATTTGCCAAGCATAAAAAAGAGTTTTGGGCGCCAGAAAATGAAGCATGAACTATAATAGCATCTGAGTCGAAAACATTTTCATATGTTCCATTAGGGTTTTCGACTTCATAAAAGTTCGGGTGTACTGGATATTCTGCAGGCTGATTTAACATCCTCAAAAACCTATACCATGCCAAGTTGTTATATTTTGTAGAAATATAAACGTCTTCTCCAAGGTCTTCTATTCTATTGATTTTAACAGTTGCATTTTTCCTGTCATATATAATATCGAGATGGTACTCTCCTTCGTCAATGTTGTACTGTTTTGCATATTCGAGATAGATATCGTTTATTTTTTTCTTGAAAAGCTTGAAGAGTTGTTTCTAAGTTTACAAGCAAATTCACTTGTAAAAGTTTTCCCTGTTCAAATTTCTCATACGTACGTTTCTCTTTGTTATAGTATCGAACTTCAAAACCGACCGTAAATGGGAAACCATGTATGGCTTCTGAAATGAACTTCATTCTACGAAAGCCAATAGCTTTTGTGACAGATGGGTCTCTTAGCCATCTTAATGGGTAGTCAAAACGATAGCCTTCATGCTTTACGGTCTCTGTCTCAAACTTTTGACCGACATTAGTAAAAAGTTCATCTAATGGTTTAGTTGTAGCAACTCTTGAATTTTCTTTTTCTATTGAAAGCATATTTTATCTAGAATAAAAATGTCAAATGAAACAGCGTCTATGAGAGAAATACAACACAACCGACAACTCATTATGCAAGCTCTAAATAAGAACACAACAAACTTTTCAAACTACTCTAAGATATCTGAGTCATTGAAAGAAGGAAACTTAAAACTGACATTAAACCCAATGACAGATGAGTTTCTATTTCAAGACAAGAAGAACAATACTGTCTGTATAAATCCAACAAAAGGAACTTTAAACGAGAAACCTATAAATGAACTTCTTTTGAAAGCAGATGTTGACAACAAAGCTGACAAAGAGTATGTCATTGAAAAAGTTCAAGAAGAACATGACAGAGCAGATGCAACATATGCAACGAAAGAACATACTCATCCTGAACTAGCGGACAAAACATATGTTGACAATAAAATGTCAAGTGAAGTGACAAGAGCTGAAAACGAATATTCTAAAAAGACTCATATACATACCATTGCAAATATTACAAACTTACAAGAAACCTTAAACAGGAAAAGTGACGTTGGACATACACATTCTATATCTGAAATAACAGACTTAAACGTTAGCCTTGAAAAGAAAGCTGACAAAACATATGTCAACAGTGAGTTAGAGGAGAAGGTAGATAGGGGTTGTATGGCTAGTGCGTTAGTGAAGAAGGCAGATAAGGAATATGTGGATGAAAAAGACAATGAAATTAAAGAAAGGGTTGAATGGTATAATGAACGGACATCGAAGATTTTAGAAGGTAAAGCCAATACAGGGTGGGTTTCAGGATGTTTAGACCTTAAAGCGGATAAGAACCATACACATACCATTGCAAATATTACAAACTTACAAGAAACCTTAAACAGGAAAAGTGACGTTGGACATACACACGATTTCTTCGCAACTGTTGGTATAGAAAATATTGAAGGAACGGTTGAAGGAGCTGGTGGGGATGTATTAGATTGGAAACCTCCTAACTTTCCACAAGGTTTAACATCGGAAGAAGACATAACAACGATGAGATACATTAGATGTAGAAATGTCTATGTCATGGAGGATGAAAAAAAAGTTAAATTCACTGCTCAAGATTTATATGATAAAAAAGCTGACAAAACAGAGCTTCAAACGTTAAAGACAGAAATACTTCAAACACTATATCCTATAGGTTCTATTTACACGTCAATGAACTCTACCAGACCAGAAGTAGTACTTGGTCTCGGAACTTGGACTCAAATAGTCGACAGGTTTTT